ACACCCTCTCTCTCTCTCACACACACTCCCACACACACACACACACACACACGAACACGAACACACACACCACATATTCTAGCAATTCAAACTTGCCATCGTAGTCTGTTCATTATTAAAATAAAATACAGTCAGCAAAACATATCAATTTAAAGAGTCCTTAGTATAACCGGTCTACAGCTGCTGTTATGCCAAGCGCATTTTTGTGCATGTGAAGAGGATGATTTTTTCCGTCGACATGCGAACGCGCATTAAGCCTAGTCTACATTATAAAAAATAGTTTTAACATTGAAATACATTGCAAATATGGAAACATTGGATTCATTTGTGCCGAATGAGAGAGGTACGTGAGTCCAACGGTAGCCTACTTTCAGTTTTGCTTTGTTTTGGTTTCTTTATATTTTTTCATTCTTGAATGAGAGAGGAACGTGAGTCCAACGGTAGCCTACTTTCAGTTTCACTTTGTTTTAGTTTCTTTATTTTTTTTTTCATTCTTGATCTGTTCTGCAGTGCATACCGTTACATTTAAATGATTTGTTTTGGAGTGAGGGGAACTAGGCTATGATTATAGTGTTTATAATGTTTATACATTATAATATTTCACTTTATTTGGTATTATTTCTGGTATTATTACACTCTCTCAGTGGAGAGAGTGGGTTAAGCAGTAGCACCAATCAACGAGAGCGATTCTGAACTTAAGAAAGCTGATTGGTCAATAATATGTTGAGGATCAATACATAATCTACAAATCATGCTCCAAATACATCTACATAAACCCGCAATCGCTCTGTCTCGTATGCACGCACGCACTGTCACAATCTAATGCACTTGTTAAAGGTGGGGTAAGCTATTTCTGGTAGCCAACACGCCCCTACCCCAAAAGGGTCTTGCCCCTATTTTGATAGCTCCACCCCACACATACGTACGCAATCCAGGCAACGATTAGTTCTGTGAAACAAAGCAAAACCAATGTTACACCATGTCTACACCGGACGCGAGTGGCGCGGCACGACAAAATACTATAGAATAATCAGTGATGCGGTCTACACCATAGATATATATATATAGACATATCTAGATCACCTCGTCACCGGACGCGAGTGCCACGGCATGACAAAATACTATATAACTCATAATCAGTGATGCGGTCTACACCATAGATATATATATATAGACATATCTAGATCACCTCGTATTAGCAAGCGCGCACGGAGCAAAAATTCAAAAATAGAGGTTCAGCGATCACTCATTGTCTCTGGTTACTGCATGCATAAATTCAACAGAATCGTGTGTGATTGGTTATTAGGGCTGCACGATAAATCGCATGCGATATTTAACGCGCATCTTGTCAGAAAGCCGGGTCTGTAATCAGCGGTAAATCTCCATCACCTGCGTGCTTTCACATGGAGCAGCATTTCGTGTGTGATTGGTTATTAGGGCTGCACGATAAATCGCATGCGATATTTAACGCGCATCTTGTCAGAAAGCCGGTTCTGTAATCAGCGGTAAATCTCCATCACCTGCGGGCTTTCACATTGAGCAGCATTAACTACACAGAGCCGTTGTTCACTGACGAGCAGCGCAAAAAATCGCGCGAATATGGACGTGGTTTTGCGCAACTCGTCAGTGAACAATGCTGTAAAAACGCGGAAAAAAAGGTGCAACATGAGCAGATATTAATTTAATGCAACAATCGACGGTTTTTATTCATTTTCACTTTATTAACAAAAGACGTAATAGATTTAACTTAATTGACCCTTTGCAAAAACCCGCCCTCCTTGGTTACTGTTCCTATGTCCGACAAACAATGCCGCTCTCACACTACACGTTTTCATGCAGTAAAAAACACTGCGGAGCAAAGAGGAAACTGACAACACGCCAACAGATAAGACAGCAGGTTACTTTTGGTATATCTCAGCTTTAAAATGTTGTCATTTTTTAAAGAAATTCAAACAATAATTAACCTTTTGTGGCTCTTTAATGTGTCTTGACAGATCACTGTATTGCCTTATTATTTAGTCATTTCATTTAGTCATTTTGCAGACGCTTTAAAAGCGACTTACAATTGGACTTATTAGAACAATCGACACGTGAACTGATCGTCTTTTCTTCTTTACTTTAAGCACGAAAAAGAAACATGAACGAACATCAGAACATATTTTATTTCAACCGCGGAAAGACGTCATACACACAAATTTTCAAGTCTAAGCCAAAGGGACTTTCTTTAAGTCTACTGAAGTTAATCTATGCTCCTGTCTGATTTGTTTGTCGGACAAAATGGTGAAATCGGCATTATGATTGGTCAGATCACCGGTCAATCAAGCTGTTTGCAAAGGGTCAATTGTGCAGGAGCATTTTTGTTCAGTTTGCTGGCATTTTTGCCCCAAGTCCCCATGGCTAGGGGAAGGCTAAGCCTTACACACGCTCCGCTTATGATCACCTGGCTCTTTTGGCTGGAGGGGGCAGAGTTCTTCATGGTGTCCAACTATTTCTCTGCACAGAAGCTGTCAATAACAGTAGTGTTTTTTAGCAAAGTCCTCCTTGGAACCCTCAAAGAGACCACCTAGCATATGTGTACAGTCGAACGCGTAGCCTTTCAAAGTATACTCCATTTGATGTTGTGTGCGAACGCAGATGGTCGACACATGCGCTCTAAAAAGCTTCATCCATGTCCAGTGTCTGCTCTATTTTTCCCTTATAAGTTATGACCGATAACAAATATTTTTTAATTTTTTTTAACCAAAGCTGGGCTGTCTCATACCCTCTCACTCCCAAGCACTTGTCAATGTGAGCGTCTGCTGTTGTTGTTGCAGTCTCTGCCATTTTGCTGTTGCTGTTCTGTCTCGGTTTCGTTTTCTACTCTGAAACAACGGCCTGTGTTGCTACCTTGTAGAACATCTGATCACTGCAAAATAACTTCAATGCACATGTTACCTGCTCGTACAAAGTACGCACAGTTACAAAAATCAGGTGGTGCGTGTATGCACAGTATGCGCGTACTATTGTGATGACGAAATTCACGTCATACACGTTTTTTTGTGATGTTATTTATTTTAAAAACTCTTTTCAAAACAACAGTTGAAGACAATACTGGCTCACATTATTCTTTTCATTTTTTACAGTGTCTTTTCTTTTTGAAGGGGCAATTTTTGATAGCATTAGTGACTTATGTACTGTTAATGCCTTTAACCACAAGTGCCAGTACACCAAGTAACTGCTTGAAGTTTTATAAACTTAGTGAAGAATGAAGAATATACACCAACCTATTTGTTCTTCAGCATCTTCCTGTTTTATTCCGCAGGGTTCTGGATCAGTCATGTTTTTAGCTTTCTTTCATAAACTCTTTCATTCACTGTTGTGGGAGGAGCTGAACTGTTGATGAACTCCTGTGTGGTTGGAGGAGCAGATCTGCCAAAATCAAAAATAAATCAGTTATCAAATTAATGCTTTCATTAATTCACACACTTAAATCTTGTTATGTTTATCCATCTATCAAAATGTAAAGTTATTTCATTTGTTTTAAAATGAATTTACATATTATAAGTATTATATCTTTCTAGACTTTCTAATATTTGACAGATAAGTATACAACCACAAAATGCAAGTTATATGCTAAGGAAAACATTTGAGAGGCATTAACCAGCACACACATCTGTCAAAGTACAACAGAGCAAGATGTGGTAAACGCTTATGCTTTTTTATTTGAAGTGCTTTTAAATATAAAGCATTGTCATGTTTCAGACAACTTCAGCTAACTTCTGCAAGATCAGCTAATGATCGCTATCAGCTGATAATTGCCTCTAATGATTGGATCAGTGATCTCTCAATTCGTCAATCTCAGAAACCAATCTCATGTAAAAGATGCGCGTCTGTGAAGTGTTTGGCATGGCATGCAACAGTGCAGTCTCAATCTGTTTTTTATAAGTTTGATTACTTTGTTTCTTATTCTTATTTTATCTGACTGTTTGCACATCTTTAGTGAGCTTGCGTTGAGTATATCTCTTCAGGAAAACTGATCAAGGAAACATAGATCTAGAGCACCACCTAGTGGCCATTATATAAAACACAAAGGAACTTACCCTTCATGCGATATTGCTTAACTTAAAATATACAAAAGCTTAACAGAAAGTATTCTGGGTCAATATCACCATAGAGTGCCTTTCAACCCTCAAAATACTAAAAAATTTTGGTTTTAATTTCCCATTCGCTTTATGTCATATCATAAATAGTAGACACTCAAGTACTATAGAAACATATTAGCTGAGCTCCCACACATTTTTTTTTAGATAATTATGGGCCATTATTTGAAGCATAAACCATAAGATATGTCCACCGTCATGGACATATATATTACTGTTAAATACATTTTCATTGCTAAATTAAGATGCAAATTATATTTTCTGAAAGGTATGATGTCCCTCTCCTAAACAGGGATATTAAATAATAATAATAATAATAATAAATA